GTAGCTGGGATTACAGGCACGCGCCACCATGCCCAGCTAATTTTTTGTGTTTTTAGTAGAGACGGGTTTTCACCATGTTGACCAGGATGGTCTCGATCTCTTGACCTCGTGATCCACCTGCCTCAGCCTCCCAAAGTGCTGGGATTACAGGCGTGAGCCACCGCGCCTGGCCTTTATTAAGTTATAAATACATTAAGAATTTGACTCCTGGCTGGGCTCAGTGGCTCACGCCTGTAATCCCAGCACTTTGGGACGTCAAGGCAGGTGGATTGCCTGAGCTCAGGAGTTCAAGACCAGCCTGGGCAACACGGTGAAACCCTGTCTCTACTAAAATAATACAAAAAATTAGTCGGGCCTGGCAGTGTGCACCTGTAGTCCCAGCTACTTGGGAGGCTGAGGCACGAGAATTGCTTGAACCCAGAAGGCAGAGATTGCAGTGGGCTGAGATTTCGCCACTGCACTCCAGTCTGGGAGACAGGGCAAGACTCTGTCTCAAAAAAAAAAAAAAGAATTTGACTCCTACAAAGGCAGTATCAAATAGGTTTTGTATTTGGCTGATTAAGTTAATTATGCCTGTTAGACTGCTGAGCTGCTTAGAAATGGTGATACCACAGATATTCCAGAAGAACTTTCAGATTAGAGTTGAGGTGTTGTCAGAGTCCAGGTGGTGTCACAAAATTATATGAATTAATTCTGCTTTAAAGCGATAATGTAAGAAGCTGGTGATTCAGGTAGTAAGTCAAGTGAAGATCCATCTGTTTTGAGCAAATAAATAGTAAACATTTTGGAAAGGAAAGTATTGTCTCCTGAGGAAATGGGCAGTAGGTGCTGACCATGCCACTACCTGGGACCAGGATGCTGATTATGTATTCCTGGACCAAACTGGTAGCTGAGACCTCAGCGGAGGAAGTGGTGCATGTATCTTCTTAAACATAACTTTGTTACGTTGTTCAGCAAATGCATTGATTAACTTTAGGTATATGTAAAGCAGGTAGACCAGTTTACAATTTTACAGTTTAAGCTTTTTAAATTAGAATGAGTTAAAGAAAGAAACAGAGCAAATACGCCTTTTTAGAAATTTAGAATCCCTTTTGTTTGTGTTTTCAGCCTTCTACACTTTATAGACAAAACATTTGAGGTTCAGGGTTCAGGGAGAATAACAGGATTGGCTAGGATATACACTGATACATTCTAAATATGCTCTTTCCACCCTGTCATCACAAACTTTACAAGTCTTTTTTTTTTTTTTTAAGACAGTCTTCCTCCGTCACTCAGGCTGGAGTGCAATGGTGCAATCTCGGCTCACTGCAACCTCTGCCTTCTGATTTCAAGCAATTCTCCTGCCTGTCTCCTGAGTAGCTGCAATTACAGGCATCCACCACCAGTCTAACTAATTTTTTTTTTTTTTT